AGATATTGTTGGCTTAGCATAGGAACAGCCACAAATAGTCATTAAGACTAATCCAAAGTAGCGTCCGTTATTGACCAACATTTTTTTTGCGTACCGAAGTACTACTCAAGCGCTGAGTTGGCGGTGGCGGGATTTGAACTCGTATCGTTCAACAGTCCGGGTTTTAGATTTTCCTTTAACGCTCTAACCATCTGAGCTATCCCGCCATTATATATATATATATATATATATATATATATATATATATAATATATATATATATATATATATATATATATATATATATATATATATTATATCATTATAGTTATACTATTTAAATAAAGTAAATCTATTTCCCATTTATAATACATTTTGTTACGTTTTTTTTTCTTTTTTGAAAATTTTTTGAAATATTTTACCATTATTTAAGCTTTGGTTAATTGGGTTAAAAACTCAAATTTTTTAAAACCGTATTAACTTATTTATATTTAATCTTATAGATTAAATAAAATAAGTTAATTAATTTTTGAGAGTATTTCCTAATTATTTCCTAAATTATATTTTTGTAACTTCCTTAACCACCCCACCCACTCACCTAGATAATCACACCCACCCTTAGACCGCCTTCTGTCTCTGTGATCTCTTTAATAATAATAATAATAATAGTAATAATAATAATAGTAATAACAATAGCAATAATAACAATAATAATAACAATAATAACAATAAAAATAATAACAACAATAACAACAATAGCAATAATAATAACAATTAAAATGTTTAATAAACATATATAAAATGAATACTAGACATATTATGTACAATATAAAATTTAAGATAAATCTTATTAAAGTTTAAATGAATTAAAAAGAAGACAGCATTAAGTATTTATTTTATGAATTAAAAATTTGTTTTAAACATTGATAATCCATAAGTACATATGTTTACTATTTAATGTAAATTAAATACTAAACAAATTCATATATATTTCCTATTGTTTTGTGTTATTTACAACAAATTCAACTTTTAATGTTCAATATATTTCTCGAATATTAGAAAACAAAGACCCATTGTAAACAAATTTTTGAGGAAGATTTCCCTAAGTAAAAATCTATTTACAACTATAACATTTTAACTTGTGTTCAATAAAGAATAATTAATAAAAATATTAAAAATATATGAAAAATTCGAAAATTGATAGAATTTTAAACACGCAATTTTTACAACTATGTAAAATAAGTTTAAAATTTGTTTTTTAAAACTTTCACCTACTCAAAATAAGTTTAAACTAAGTTCTAAAAACTTTCAACTACTGAAAATTAGTTTTAACTTAGTTTTAAAAACTTTGAGCTACTCAAAATTTTTGAACAGAACTCAACTTCTGATAAACAGAAAATTCTGATTTATATTAAACACTTTAAGAGAATCATTTTTTCAGAAACTCATTCTTTCTACGTGTCTGTTATGTATCTTTGTGTTTCCATCAATTATTGAGAGCAGCAAAAAATGAGGATGAGCTGTGAAATCGAATTCAATTTTTTTTTCACAAAAATCAGTTGGCAAAGTTTGACTTCGGTTTCTTGATTTCGAATAAATATTTAAAAAGTGTGGTATAAAAGAGCGTTTTCTTTTTTCCGAATTTCTTTTTTCAACAATTACATTACCGGTAGGTGTGTAGCTGCTTTTTTTATTACAAAAAAAGTTAGATTTTATGTAGTCAGATGTTTCGTGATCATTCACCTTAGAGTGAGTTTCCACTTGAAATCTTCCAATTTTTGAAACTTTCTTGACAGAATTAGTTAAGAGCTGACCACTTTGCTTTAAGAGCTGACCACTTTGCACTTCTGTAGTCTTCAAATTCATATTTCTCAAGTAGTTTAAAAGTCTATACTTTTTTTAAATATTGTATTCAAAATAAAGTTATAATTTATTGATTATTAATTTGTCAGTTTTATATGTTATACGGCCCCCACCTTTACTAAATTTATGAACACCAAAATATCAAAACAAAATAATTAGTGAAGATAAAAGCAACTAATCTGATCTAATCCACCTCTTATAAATTCTAAAAATTGTTATACTCATGCCAAACCTCTTTTATTTGAAATAAATGTTTTTAATATATAATTAACTAAATGATTTTAATGTTTTTTGTTCAAATGTATGATAAACCTAATCACGATATTTTTTCAAAATTTATATGCAAAAACAAACAAGATATAACCAAGAAACAAAATTCTTATTCA